TCTGGTTGAGTACATCCTGAAGTAATTATGTTCTCAAAAGGTCTTTGAGGGGTAGAATTATTAAGCTTTTACGTATTTGGTACATCTTTATTTTGCTTTCGAACTGCATTAATGTGGCCGAATTGAGAAATCCCATTCCACAAGTACTTTGTGCTCCAGAGAATGTGAGACATCCACTGTCTCAACCTGACGGATGCTCAAGTGCACTTAGGGTCTTTCTCCGCTCTTTGCTGGGTTCATTCATGTGCTCAACGCTCAGGGGGCATTCACAACCTAAAATCCATTCTCAAAGCGGAAATAGGAGATGAGTTCCTCCCTACAATCCATTCTTTTTCTCCTTTTGAAATTTCCATTATTAGGCAGGTGTTGGCATTTCCCAGTCGATCCGTTGTATCCCGTACCAGCTTTTACGCTTGTGCCTTATGTTTTTTTGTGTGCTTCACTGAACAGTATTGAAAGTACCTACGTGTCTGAAAGAGTGCTATTTCAACGCCAAGTTCCCCTTGCTTTTAGCCCAGTTATTTATGGAATTTATGGCATCCTCAGGGTTGTGTAAAGATCCGGGAGCCAGGAGGGTGGAGGGCAAAAAAAGCATCACTCAGTGTTGCTACAAATAGATGCTGGTATCATGTCCTTGAATTCTTTTGTTCAGTTCTGCTTGTTTTCTCAAAATAAATCCCTGGTCTTGGAGTTGAGTGTCACGAATACAATTTGTTTGAAGCTCCGAGCACGTGCTCCTGGGTTTGTTTCTGTGCAGAAAGATGACTCCACTCTGCATTTGGACCCTACAGCGGACAAAAGTAGAGTGGTGGTCCCCATACTCACACCCTTGGTCCCTCGCGGTCACCTGTCACTGTCTGTCTTCTGGACCACAGGGCACCGTTCCTCAGCTCTCCCGACGCCTGCAAACTGTGTCATGGTTCTGCAACACTGGACCTTCCCAGGGTTACTGAACGTTTCTGAATATTTTACGGCTCATCTTCGGTGGACCAGAAGACTGCCAGAAAGTCAGTGTGGACAGCTTGTACCGACTCCGAGGAGACGGGAACAGAGGAGGGAATCACATGGGAGTCATGGGGATGCTTTGGGCTCTTGGAGGACTGTT